TATAATTTCCAACAAGTTATATGTTTAGGGTTGTAGCTTAAGCCATAAGATTAAGCAACAATTTCATACTTACGATCTTCCAATCTTCTTAAAAAGTTAAAAACTAAAAGTAGAACCGTCCAAATGTACTTGTATTTGACTTTAGAGCAATGTCGACTATGAGCGTGCATTGTGCAAGACTAAGGAAGAATAATGCTAATATAAATTAGTTGATTTTCAAAAATGTCGATTGACTTGATTCCTTGACAAAGTTACATGTCAAATACCAAATTACTTGATTAATTTATTTAATTATGGTTTAGCGTCAACAAACCCAACAAAAAAAAATGATTTAACTTTTTGCACTGCTCAAGCATTTTCCCCTTTTTTTTTTTTTTTTTTTTTTTTCGGGTAACGAAAAGTTTAGGATGTGATTAGTAACTCTCACCACTAGCGTCAATATAGACTTACAACTTTAGGTTAGAAAAAATTACGTGTGCCACTTAACTACTAGCTACCACTGATATGAATTTATAGGAATTTACAAATCGCGTACTTAGAAGAACGGTTGACAATTGAAATTGAACTTGAATTAAGGGTTCACTAAAAACACGTCTTTACCACTTAACTAACCCTCGTTGCCTTGCGGGAAAGGATGAGAGATTGAGAGAAGGTTGGAGGAGGTAACACCTGTTGTTCATAGAAGCAACTGTTGCTTTAATGGTGACACACAAACATATATTAATTGACTTTTGCAAAAAATATTTTTCAAAAATAATATAATGAAACTTCCTGCTAGACCAATACACGTAATCAATTATATAGTTGTTGATATATTGTGTCAATGTGTTCGTTTAAAGTACTCGTGGAAAATTAGATTACGAAGTAATGAAATTTTATTTACTTGAACATTACACGTAATTAGTTCGTTCAAGATTTTCCTCTAATATAGATATTGTCATCATAAGAAATGTTTAGAGAAGTTTTTCAAAAGTAAGACTCTATACCCACTTCTCTACCATCTTATATTTTTGGCACAAAATATTTTATAATGTTAGATACCGAGAAATTATATATGCGAACAGGTGGAAATGCATCCGAGGTGGAGGCAAAGAGAACTTCAAGGTTTCTGTGGGGACCACAATATCCATGTAAGTGCTTACTCACCACTTGGTGGGCCTGAGAATTCGTGGGAATCAACCCTTGTGGTGGACAGCCCAATGATCCGGTCCATTGCCCACAATCGCAAAGCAACTCCAGCCCAGGTAAACCCATCAAATAACAAACCCAATAGCAAACTTATTTACATTTTTTGAAAAAATTGAAACATAATATATGCTTATTTTTTTTCTAATATAAGCAATATTCTATTTTAAACGACAATAAGTTGTAGGTTGGAAATTTGAACGCAATATGGATAAGGAAATCACATCCGTTATAACCAATGTGACTGATATCTGCAAACGTTAGATACTAATTAAATTCATTTACTTGATGTAGGTTGCTCTAAGATGGGGATTATCAAAGGGATCAAGCATGATTGTGTAAGGCTTTAAATCAGAAAGGATTAATGGGATGTGAAATTGGACGGTCAAGATTTCATGGAGATAGACAAGTTGGAGGAAAGGAAGATCATGAGGGGAGAGTTTCTAGTCAATGAAACCACAAGGCCATACAAAACAATTCAAGATTTATGGGATGATGAGATTTAAATTCATCTCACATTGTTGTATTTAGTATGTAATTTAACCTTTAATCTTCAGTTAATCATAAATTTCGCCACAAAAATGCATAAACATCATTAAAATATACACACAAAACTCGAACTTGTCACTTGATCTTCGCCATCCAAACCGGTTTGCTGCTTTAGAACCCTTAGATTGCTGGTTCTTTTCTCCGATTCTGAACCCAAAACACGAAAATGAACTAAATTCGGTTGAATAGGTAACAGATTTACATACATTGCTGAAAGGAAAAAAAAAAAAAAATTGCATATGATAGCCCAAATCACACCTGCCTTGAGCTAACATATGAATGCAGTCTAATTTTCCTGAAGCTGCCTACTGTTTCCATTGGATGCGGGCGAAATTCCTTGGTCGATACGCCATATAACGATGAGCTGGTTGAGTAAGATAAGTAACACATAATATTGAGTTGGACATAGACATCCAAGTTTTGCAGATTAAAGAAGCACGCAGGAATGCGCAAATTTGAAAATGTTTGATCATAACTCGGAAGAAGTACCTCGAGAAGATATCCGTGCAGCCAGTCCAACGTCGGGTTGAATGTGTTTGCTGATAGGTTGAGTACTTTCAATCCCTGTTTGAATCAGATTAGCCAAAGATAAACAATCTGCCAATTTAAAGTTAGTAACCGAAATTCAAAAGAAACGCGCTTACCTTGGAATTGAATGAACAAAGATAGCCCTGAATGGTCTTTAAGTTTCTTGCTAGCTTATCTTTGTCCTAGAAAGGTAAAAAGAAGATCAGGAGACTGTTCTAACAAACAATTAGACTGTTTAGTTTTCGATTAATCAACGAACGATAAGCCTATAATTTCATCGTAATTAACAGAAAATATAAGATGGTTGATAGTGAATACCTTGACTAGTTTATCATTGAACGTGCAAGTTGAGAACCATTCCTCTAGTAACGCCTGCAGATTGCGAAAAGAACAGGAGCAATGAGGTGAAATTTGAAGAATTAAAACTAGAGAAATGCTGTAATCTTAAAACTAAATAATGTGACACAGGACTTGACCACACATTGTGATCGAATTCAGCCATCTTCATTACTAGAGGTATGATAATCGGTCCAGGACCACACTTCTCTTTCGAAACAGAAATACTTTTAACCTCCTCCGAACCTTTCTCACTTTCACCTGCACCACCGCCGTGAAAGCTGTTAGAGAACTAACATGTTAAATGGTTCAACCCTTCAATTCTCTTCACCATAAACTTTGCAATCACATCCACATTAGGGTTAACCTTTGTTACTGATCACAGTGAAACCTCCTGATAGGCCAATAGCTTCCAGGTAACCTACATTGTTTGCGTTGTTAGCTGTTGGTGTCCCTTCTTCTGAGCTGACATGTACATTTTCCATGTGTGTTCTGGATTCGTACGGTGTTTTATTTTCCTCCGCCATTAGATAAATATTTGGATCGATATGCATTCCCTGTCGAGATCATCCATGCTGAGAAATACAGGAAACCAAACTAATTACAGTGAGATGTTTACAATTATCATACTTCGATTATTATTGGCTTCCCATCTTTCACGGCTTTCTTCAAATCACCCGCCAATCCTAGCGAACAAAGCAGACGAAGCATATGAATAAAGAGAGACATAATCTGCAAAACATTCTCTTACAGACTTGAAACTGTTCTGATTATCTTATAAAGCGACTACCTTTACGAACAATCCTGCATTCCCTACAAAACTCGGTAATTAACTCCTCTGCGGAGCTGAAGTCTCGCGCCCATACAGGAGTGGATGCCAATGGTGCACTGAATTGGATTAAACGACAGAATAAAAACTTCGATATAGAACAGAAAAACTTAACTTGAGCAACAAGAATCAAAGTTTTAACATAGGAACCATTCATTCCTCTCTTCAAATGTAAGAAACTAAATAAAATCAAGACCTACTCAGTTGATGTGCGCAGCAATTCGTATACCACATCTGTCTGCATGACATTAGGCAAATTCAACCTCTGTGCAATTTTGCAATCGTCGACTTTCCAACGCAGGCAGTTCCACATAAAAGAATGATCAATGGTACTCTTTGATGGTGGAATCTGAAAGAAATGTAACCCCCACCAAATTGTTTCTTAAAAAATAATGAATCGCCATATAATGCAGCGAAAAATTTACCATGGACTGACCTCGTCATCATCTTGCAACGATTTAGGTACTCTTCCCCATAGCCTCTTTGCTCCATTAGCTGCACATTATACAGAAATGTGAAGCTGATCAAATTCGAGATGGTGAAATTTCGCATAAGTTCACAGCTTCAACTTGTATGGTACAACGACAAATGCGTGCCATTACCTTGAACATATTAGCTTCCAAATCGGACTGCGACCTGCGATGCAGTAACACACTGCAAAGTTAATCCATTGGTGAAAATCTAAACAAGAAATTGAAAAAGCAACGACACGACATAGACATCTAGAAGGCTGTTGTCTACAAGCAGCTTCTTGAGCTCAAGAGCGATTTTAATAGCTGTGTGATTTGGGATCTAATAAACAGAATTATAATTTCGTCATCAGATTTCGCGCTAAGAATTAGATGATCGAATTGTGATCAGCCAAACGAAGCATTGTTAAGGAAATGCAGATTGAATTGAAACCACCTTGGTGACAGCTAACAGCAAAAGCCTCGAAAACACGTAGTAGTGCTCGGCATGCTCACCCAACCACACCTTCACCTGGTTACAAAACAACAAACTTTACCACTTCAATTTTCTCAGGAACCAAACAGAAAGAATGATCAAGAAAAAGAAAACTAACCTTGACAAAGTCGTACTTGGAGGAAGCAGTTATGGTTCTAGGACCCATCTCCTGCAAATTTGTATATTACAAAATGCAGATTGCATGTATCTTCGATTCTTGGATTTAATCTCTAGTCAAAATGACCTAAGATTTTAATGATCCATGCAGCTCGTTGATTTTTTATTTTATTTATAACTCACTGGTTTTTGTTGATTTTGAGATAATAAATCGTATAGTAGATCATTTTATGTGTTATAATAAGAGAGCACTGAAAAATTTGCAAGACGGAAAAAGTAGTAGCAGGTGATATCGAAGTTATAGTAAACAATAATGATAGGCTTATTACATTTTTATACCGTACTTTAACGTCGATATGCAGTGTAACAGTCACGTCGATAAAATCACGGGATATGAATACATCACACACCATATCATACGGTATTAATACGAGGTAACCATTGGCATTCCTTTGAATACATCATGCCACGTCATGCGGTATCAAAATGTGCTACAAATGTGTGGTATCCCTAGCATTAATCGATAGACAATTTATTGCGTTTCTTTGTTCACATATACAGAGAAAAGGCAAAGAAGATGCACATACAACTGAAGCAGTCCAAATAATGTGTCGACCGTCGAACAAGTGGTTAAGAACATCATTGTCTTAAATACAGGATCTCTTAAGTTATACATACGAACACTACAAAGACAACTTATTGACTGATTTTGCCTGCCAGCAAGTTTCTCCCAAGCCCGAAATTTAGTATCGAAAAATTGAATTTTGGAGTAGTCTTGGATGCGTTAAAGAGGCTGCATTTAGTTGAAGTCTGGCATCTCGTACCGAAGAACAAATAATGCAAGTAGAAATTTGTTTTGCAAGCTGCTGCGGCTGCTGCTGCAAGGGTGCGTATAAGTATTTGTTCTCTGTTTTGTTTCCCGACATTTGATCTATATCATCCAGCCGATCACTGTTTCAAAACTGTTACTGGTTCTTTTCTCCAGCTCTATGTGAACCACAAGCAGATATCATCAAGGAATGAATTTAAGAACAAACAAATGAATGTAAAGTTGGTGACGAGCATAGTATTTTTCGTGTTTGTTTTACCTCTACCATCATCATTTCCCCCTTTTACAATATCTATAAGCAAAACAGTTCAGAATCAGACTGATAAGATGCAACTCTTTCTTAAAGATAAATTTCATTGAATTTACCATGTAATGATTACGTTTAAAGAAAAAACAATGAATACGAATCTATGTATCATATAGATTCAAAAAAATAAGATCAAAACAATGGAAGTCCAACTCATACCAGCCGTCAGCTAACATTGCAATGCAGTCTAACTTTCCGCAGGCTGCCTACTATTTTCATTGGACACTGATGAAATACCGTGCTCTATACACTGTATAAAGAAACAAGGAACCGGTTAATGTATTTTTCTCATATTTCGGCCACCGTGGCAGTTATTTATGTAATCTTGTATTGGTGAAGGTATAACATGATGGTATCATTTGGGGCCATCAGTTGGGCATTAAACATCCAAAATTTTCAGGTTTTAGCAGCACTATAGAGGCCAGGACAGAACAAATTCAAAAGAGTGCATCAGAAGTACCTCAAGAAGATAACCATGCAGCCAATCCAGTGTTTGCGGAAATGTGGTTGCTGATATATTGACGACTCTCAATCCCTATTTGAATCAAAGATGATCGAATAAGACAACCAATAATAAACAATCAGCTAGCCCACAGATAAAAGGAGTTACAACACATGAAAGAACTTACCTGCGAATTGAATGAACAAAGATAGTCCTGGATGGTCTTTAAGTTGCGTATTAGCTTATCTTTATCCTGGAAATGATAATTACGAATGTTTGAGGGAATTTTTCTAACTTATCCGACGGGAAACTCCTCATTTAACTAACATTTAAGAACAAAAGGGAATGAGAAGAGAAAAGACAAAAAGGTTCAGAATACCAAAAGGCCAAAACTACCAAGCATCACATGAACTCTATTGTAATTTGAGATTAATAAATTGGCAAAACAGTCCATTTAAGCATTCTTCATGGATAGCAAAAAATTATTTTGTACCTGGGCTATAGATTTATCACTAAATGTACAAGTCGAGATCTCCTCTTCTAGTAATGCCTGCAAATGCGAAGTATAGGTACACAAATTACAAAATAACGCAACGATTCAGAATATAACACAAACAATGAAAAATTTGCAGTTACATCACCAACATAAAAAACTCAAGAAATTCTTTACCAAGAGCCAAGAATAAAAGCACAAGAATCTATATTCACTTTTCTACGAAAACTATGTGTATTCTAATTTCCAAATGATACCAATTCAGGATTTAGAGGACTATGATTAAGAGAGGAGAGCGAAGACAGCACTAATAAATGTGCATCCACAAGCATAGCAGTCACTACTACTTCTTGGCATAAATGCCAAGTTACTTGTGAAACGAAACCAAAACCAATCAAGGCCAAATGCACTCACAAAGAAAATGAGGACACTGGGAAAAAGAGTTTGTACCACAATAAACTACATAAGTGAAAGAGAATGTGACCGCACCTTATGATCAAATTCAGCCATATTCAAAACTATAGGTATAATAATTGGTTTAGTACCAGACTTCTCTTTCTTAACAGAAGTACTTTTACTCAACTCTGGATCAGTAACACTTTCACCTGCATCGCACAAAAGTAGTTAGAGAACTGACGTCTGCACTGTGCCTAATATGTTTCAGACCAAAATTAAGAGTGTTTGAACAGAATATAAACAATCTGAGAATTATCCACAGCCGGGATCAACCTTTTTCCTCAGAAACACTTCTGGCTAGACCAATAGCTTCCAGGTGATTCGAGACTTTGTCCACCTTGTTAGTTGGTGTCCCTTCTTTGCAGCTGACATGTGCAGTACTGTTGCAAACTTCAGATGAACTTCCACTTGGAGAATTGTTTTCCATCTGTGTGTTGGAACCATCTACTGCAACGGGGTCTGCCTCCTGAGTTTTCTCTTGTTCATGTGTTTTATTATCATCTTCCATTAAATAAATGCTTGGGTCCAAATGTATTCCCTGCCATTATCATCATACAAATGAAATCATCCAACGAGACAAACTAAGTGGACAGAGGCTTGCTAAAGCTTATGACATTGTCATCGATAATTTGGAGTCCCTCTTTATTGTTCAGCATTACAAAACTCAATAGTCCATGCAGTGCCATGATAAGCATTCTCTCTCTATCCCTCTAGTAAACTAGAAAGTCCCGTCTGCAACATGGATTGCAGCAAATATCATGGATTTTTTAACATAAGCATGAATGTAGCACCCAAACTGGAATTCAATGAGGAAAGATTCTTAAGCCATATGATATACATACACACCCAACCCTTTGTTAAAAGTAGAAACAATAAAATTTGTTCTGACACTTCTTACTGAAAATTACCAACCTAAGCAAATAGAGTAATAAAAGTTCATATGATTGATTCTCACTTCAAGACAAGATTCAGGTACATAACAAGATAATCGTGACTTGTGCAGAATCTCCAAAAAAACTAAGCAAGGAGAGAACAAAAGTATTGGAGCGTCAAATCTGTACGAGCTTTTTCATGCTTAATATTTGAAACAGATCCTTTCGATGATAAAAAAAAAAGAAATGAAAAGGAAGAGAGAGAGAGAGAGGAAAAACTTTGAGAGGACAAAAGTAAGTTACAATGCTATTGTCATCCATGAATATTAATAATAAACACACCTCTATTATTATTGGCTTTCCATCTTTCATGGCTTTCTTCATATCACCACCCAATCCTGGTAAACACATGTTTCAGAACTTTGATCAATACACTAGCCAAAGAGATATTTCTGATTTGTCAAGGTTATAACTTCAAAAATAGTCATCTGGCACATCTCAGCAGATGGATTCATAAAGACATTACCTTTACGGACAATCCTGCATTCCCTACAAAATTCAGTAATTAATTCCTCAGAGGAGCTGAAATCTCGTGCCCATACAGGAGTAGATGTCAACGGTGCACTGAATTGGATAAAAGGAGAGAATAAGCATTCTAATATCGTTCATCAAAACAAAAGACTTACACACAATCATAACTAATCAGATTAACATAGGACACGCTATTCTTTTGCATACTATTTTTTTGTGTACATTCAAATGAAAAACAAAGGAAATGTGTGAAATTGGGACATACTCTGTTGCCGTGCGCAACAATTCATATACCATATCCGTCTGTAAGAGTTACACAGGAAACAGAGGATCAATTGAAAATATCAAAGACATCTCTGCGCACCTTGAAAAAAGGTTGGGAGAGAGAGAGAGAGAGAGAGAGAGAGATGATAAATATTAGAACCTGCAAGACATTAGGCAAATTTAATCTTTGTGCGAGTTGGGTAGCAATGGTTGACTTTCCAACACAGGCAGTTCCACATACAAGAATAACTAATGGCACTCGTTGATGGTGAAATCTGTAAGAATTTGTCCCACCAAAGAAAAAAACTGGTATCAGTATTAATTTAGTAAAATTTACGATCTTTTGTTTATTTGGTTTCTAGGCACTTCCTAAGAGTACATAGATTTTAGACTGACCTGGTCATCATCTTGTACCGATTTATGTACTCTTCCCCATAACCCCTTCGTTCCATAAGCTACACATTCAGCATGAACTCATTCAGCATGTAGAAAGTTTGCAAAGTGCACTACTTTTCCGACAAATACACAAGCATATGACATTACCTTAAACAAATTCACTTCCAAATCGGACTGCGAACTGCAACACATCAGGCGAACCCAAAAGCGAACCCATTTATAAAAATCCAATCAAAACAACAAGAAACATCATAATAACAAAACATAATCAATGTGGAGACAGCATACACATCTAGCAGACTGTTGTCAATCAGCAACTTCTTGAGCTCCAGCGCTATTTTAATCGCTACATAATTCGGGATCTGCAAATCACCACACCAAAAATTCACACTAAATAACATGATCAACCATTAAAATTTACAAAAACAAACGGTTGAATCAAAATACTGAATTGGGTCGACTGAAACCGATACCTTAGTGACAGTCAACATTCGACTGAGCAAAAATCTGGACAGAACGTAGTAGTGGTCTGCATTATCACCCAGCCAGACCTTCACCTGATGACCAAAACAGAAAAGAAATTCGATTTCTGAATCATTTTCTCGGGAACCAAACAGAAATGAAGAATCTTTGTTATTTGGGTCAGAATAAAATGAAGAACCTTGACGAAGTCGTATTTGGAGGAGGTGTTGCGGGACGAGAATCTGATGGAAGTCGAAGAGACGCCACTGCTTCTGTTGCTGTCGTCGTCCAATTCGTCTTCGCTGATGTTACCGTTGCCGTCGTCGTCGTCGTCGATGTCGTTGACGTTGGGGCTTGGGACGGCGACTGCTTTGCCTTTGTTGTTGTTCATCTTCTGGGTGTCTGGGTGGAATCCCACCGTTGTTGCAGTTGGAGAGTGGAGTTGCAGAGAAAGAGAGTTGCGTGGATGGGAGGGGGAGAGAATGAATGAAAATTTTTCCAAGGCTATGTCAATAACGTCACCACTCACTTTTTATTTTGACACGTATTTTATTAAATAATAGACATTATTTAGTTTTTCTTGATTATAAAAATAAGAAATTTGTGGAATTTTTTTATTGGATTAAATTAAAAAAGTCAGTTATTGAGTACTTTGGTTTTGTGATATTCATTATCACTTGGAAGTGAGAGGTCTTAGGTTCGAATCTCGTGGATGACGAATTCAATACTAAAAGGTCTTAGGTTTGAATCTCGTGGATGATAAATTCGATACCAAATTAGGTTACCCATTGGGTAGCTTACCTGAACTCTCACTCTCTTAGTGTAAAAATATTAATGTATTAAAAAAAAATTAAAAAGTTGTATTTTATAATACTTAAGTATTATCTAGGAAAAAGAACTCATATGATGCGTACCCTATACACTGTTGATGACGCTTGCATCTAATAAAATAAAAACATTAGTGCGTTTTCGTTACATGTCTTTATTCCGTTTACACAGTTCCATATAGTTATATTCCGAGTTATGTAAATTGTGAAGTTGTTCCTTATACATTGAGGTTTTTTTGTTTTTGTTTCTTTTTTTTGGAATTTCTACACACACGTAGGAATCTAGGATTTGATCACAGCACCCATCAAAGGGATTCTCCAATGTTGCCTTTGAATGCAATGATCACAAGCTTGGGTTAGACTCCGATTTGGGCAATTCACGGTGAGATTATTTGTCCATTGTATAAGAGCAACTCCAGCCCGTGGTAAAGGGCCCGGCACCAAGTGAAAAAAATGGCCCGGCACTGAGTGAAGAAGCTCCAGCCCGGAAAACAGGCTGGCACCCAGCTCGTGCCAATCAAGAGGCCAGCCCAAAATGGACAGACCCAGAGGCCGGTCCGTTTCTTGGCGCGTGCACAACACGCGGTGGAGATGGCGAGTAGCCGACAGCGTCTGCAGGCAGTGGGGCCCGCAGTGCAGGGCAAGTGGACTGAGTCTGTCAAAGGGCTACGTGGCCCTCCTCAGAGCCGTTGGATTTCCAACGGCTAGTTTTTGTAGGCCGTTGGATTTCCAACGGTAAAAAAAATTTAAATTTCACTTTTAAATTGGACCGTCCGATCACAGATCAACGGTCCACGTTTATTTCACCAAAAATTTAAAAAAAAAAGAATCTTAGCTGAAATCTATTCAAAAAATAGTACGTTCGGATAATGACACGTGGCGTGACGAGATTGGTTAAAAATCTTATCGAAATCTTGCCTAAATTATTGTAAACAGGAAGTGACACGTGGGTTGTCGGGATTGGTTGAAAATCTTAGCGGAAATCTATTAAAAAAATAGTACGTTCGGATAATGACACGTGGCGTGACGAGATTGGTTAAAAATCCTATCCGAAATTAAAACTATTTTTTTTATTATTTTATAAAAAATTATTTAATATTTTAAATGGACTGGGTGCCAGCGCATTTTGTAGGGGTGGAGATCGTTTGTGCCAGCGCATTTTTAGACTAGGTGCCAGAACATTTTGTAGGGGTGGAGTTGCTCTAACGAGATGAGATTAAAATACGCTGAGTCTTGTGTTTTTTTTAGAGGTATTTTATGGATAAAATAATCAGACCAAAGTAGTTCTTTTTTGTAAGCAATGTCCTCAAATGACAGTTACCCTCAACTTGACAGAACAATTGACAAAGTTAAAGGTAGGGAGATTTTACGCATTAAAATGGACACAGGGCTCAAAACTAATTTGAAAGAAGTCCTAAGTTTAGAGGGTAACAACTTTCTAAACATTAAAGAAGATCTAGCGTTTTAGATACTTCCTATAATGTGACGAAGGAGCAAATAAGAATAAAAAGGATGACTCCAAGCCAACAAAGCTCCCCGCTTTGCAAGAGTCGGGAAAAATATCTATTATACGCTGTCTTACCCTTACCTTTCAAGAATAAAGAACTAAAATATTTGTACCATAAAATCAACGTTATGGAGAAAAGGGTTTGCCCAACATTCACCAGGGGAGAAGTGGGTCGGGCAAACTGTAATATAATTGTACAATCTGGGCTGTTTCCTCATTGTGGAAGATTAAAACTAACAACAATCCTCCTCTGTGTCAACATCTGTGTTCTTAACCATCCGAATGGACAACAAACGAGTACAGCTAACTATACTATCCTCATACATTCTTCATACAAGAGACCATCTCAGCTGTGTATAAATTCGAGGGGCGGATTCTGATCGATGAACAGCATCTTCAAATCTCGTGTCTTCGACTCTTCCTGAAAAATCTACTGCCTTTCTTTCCTATGATGGTTCCGATAATGCTTGACGGGAGAAGAGATTTGGTTTCCGGTCTCCATTGCAGCTCTTTGAGAGTAGAAAATAAGGTTACTAGTGCAGGAGATATCTCGTTGTCCTTTAAGTTCTTGCACGACACTACTCGAAGACATTCGAGCTCCTTCCAGGGAAGAATTACAGACTCCAGACCCTCTGTTGTTAGCACCGAGCAGCCTTCTAGTGATAGGAACCTCACTCTCCTGTGACAACACCAAACACTCATGAAAATCCCAATTCAAGAATATCAATCCAGTCTAGAGGACTAGTAATTACTAATTGTATTTCCCTGGGTATCCGCTTTCTCAAGTAGAATTCGACGATCAAAAATCTTAGCAACTCAAACAATAAGAGCTACTGAATGATATACATGAACTTTCGACAATTCGAGCAAATCAAAGCATCTACAGTTCATTACAATCATACTACAGTTCACCCAATCTCAGAAAAGATTTTAACTTTTGTTCTACCAAGCCTATTCATAACGTTATGAACATTCGTGGATCGATATGAGATAACTAATCATTAGTATAAGGATGAAGTTTATACATGCCAATGCAATATAAATCTCAGGCAACAACAGAGAGAAAAGAACCAATATACCTGCAAGTGCTCGCTAGCCTGAACATATCATTCTCCAATCCCCAACAGTCCTGTAAAACAATCTCCCTGGCGGCTCCACACACCATAAACAAAGCTCCCACACCCTTCTTGTCCCTCAGCTGACATTTCTCCAAATGCAACCTTTCCAGAGCCGGACAAGCATCCAAATACTCGTCCGGCCCCGGAACAGTTTCAATCCTCTTACACGACTGAAACCTCAAAGTCTTCAAATTTTCGCAGTACGAAAGGGCGGCCACCCACCCACCATCCATCCTATGATCGCAGAAAGTCAGCTCCTCCAGCATTTGGCAACACTGCCCAATTGCCTTAATCCCATCAAAGCTTCCCTCACATCCCCAAAGCTCCAGCTTTACCAATCTAGTACACCCTTGAGCTAAAATCGTCAATCCGATATCTGAAACCACTGAACTGTAAAGTTCCTCTACATTTGCAACCAGCTTCAACACCTGCAAATTCTCACACGCCGCAATCCCACGCAGCACATTGTCGCTGCACTTGTGCAATTCCAGTTCTTGCAATGTGGGGCACTCCTCTGCTACACTCAGCAGCCCCAATTCACTAGCGCCAATCACCACAAGCTTCCGCAAGTTGGGGCACCCAGTCGCCAACCCGTCAAGCCCTCTATCAACAACTTCAGCTGGAAGCAAACTCGATTCCAGAACTCGCTGATTCGGTGAAAACCCGGAACCGGTACGCACCGGAAACATCCCACAACTCAACAAAATTCCAGAATTTTGGTCCGAAATCAACGACCCAGCTAGCAGGTCCACCTGATTCAGATCGGGAAACCGAGAAATTAACCGACCAGATTGGAGAAAGTTCCAGTCCAAGACCTTGATTGACCGTACAAGGCGGCCGTGAAGGTTGAGCCACCGCTTGCAGACGACGGAGCTAGGCTTCCGCTGCGACTCCGGCAGCTTGGCGAGGATCTTGAGGAAAATTTCATCGGATAACACGGAAGTCCGATCAATGTTTTCGCAAGGGGGGATAAGGGTCTCGTGGGAGGGGTTCGATTTGGGGGAAGCCAGCTGCATAGCGAACATCAGGTTCTTGAGAGGGGTGCTGTTCCTCTTGAGCCCGATGTCTGACCAGCTGGCTGTCCGCCGCTTCGACGACGGTAAAGGGCTGGTCTTTGGGTTCGCTTTCACTGCCTGTAACGACATGGTTTCGGGGTCGTCTTCCGCTGTCACTCTGTATCCCATTTTTGTCTCCTCTTTCAGCTTGTTTCAGTTCTTCTTCTCTACAATGTCCGCATCAAATTTCTCTCTCTAGATTTTCTCAGTATCTATGAACCGCTAGATCTTCTCTCTCTAAACTTTTTGCGAGTTTTGAATGAAAGGGCGTGTGGCGCTTCGCTTTTTGTTTTTACTCGCAGGTTTTTTAGAATATCAAATTTTTAATTAATGGTTAATTAATAATTCAATCATTAACAATCATATTATTTGATTAGCAAATTAAGTTTAGAATAATGTTATTCATACTATATTTTTGTACCATATTTTTATATCACTTTATATGACATTTGACGTAGACAGTCACATCATTTGAATTAATCAGATTTTTAAATTTAGTTCATTATTTAATAAATTAATAATTAAGAAAAACTAGTTAATTAAATGATGATTGTGGTATACGAGGAGTATTTCTTATTCATTTCCTTGGGTTTTGCAAATTTTTCAAACGATATAGCTGTCGACATCAGATGCCACCTAAGGTGGTATAGAAATGTGGTATAAAAATATGGTATGAATAATATTACTCTCTTAAGTTTAAAAATTTTAGTCTTCTTAGTATTATCTTTTGGACTTTTATTTAGTCTTTGTGTAAAAATTGATTTCCTTTTACCCTTTCGGTCTACCTAAATTTTATTTTCTATTTGTGGCCAAATGTAAATTTCTTTCTTTTTCTTGGCCAAATGTAAATTTCTTTCCTTTTCTTCTTTTTCGATGAAGCGTGTATCTAGGAAATTTTAAGGTGATATCTGAGGAAGTTATTCGAATTTTAACGTAAGGAGAGGCACATTGTCACATCTAATTGAAATTGTAAGTTAGCAAAATGTTTTGATATTTTTCCACC